ACGACGCCGGTATTCTACTTTAAACTGGCCGCGCTCCAAGATGCTGAATCCACATGAGGTAATGAAAACAAATCTGACCTTGCTCTCCACCAGCGAAACGAGAACTTGCTCCAAATCGGAGGAGGCTTGAGGTAAAGCGGCCTGCAGATGGCCGACCACAACACCGACGGCGACCCGCGACAGCTCGTAACTCAAGCCCGTGTTTTTCCGCACCAGCTCGATCAGTTCAGCTCCGATAGTCATGGGAACCGGCTCAGAGGTAGTGGGGCTGCCAGGGGGGCTCTCAGCAACAGATGGGGGAGCAACAGGCCATTCAGTATCCGGCTGGTCCTCCACAGCGAGCTGTAAAGGAGCAGCGGGCTGGGAGGGCTGGGGAGGCTGGGGAGGCTGGGGAGGCTGTGGTGCCGGGCTTTTCTTTGCAGGAGCTGGCTGAGGAGGAGAGTCAGAGGGCAGCGCTTCTGCAGGAGGCGCAATGGGTTTCACACGGGATGGCACAGGGGGAGGGGGGGTGCTGGAAACACTTGGCAGACTGACATCGGAGGAGGCCTGAGAGTGGGAGGAGCCCGACTCCAAAGAGGTGGTGCTGATGGAGAGGGAGGGAGCAGGGGACGGAGGGAGGGAGGACACTCTGGAGGGGACCTCCGGCTCTGCTGAGAGAGAAGAGCTCCAGTTACAGAGAGCAAACAGAAATGACCTGACTAAGAATAGAGTGTTTGTGAAGTTCAATGCTGCAGCAGGTAGCATCAGCAAAAACTGCAGCGAGTCACACCGTCATCAGTTCGTAGGTGATGAGCGGCTGCACACAAACCTGGACGCCGGTTGTTTTTCTGTTTTTCGGGGGGAGGCGGCGTGATGGGAGCAGCGCGTCGAGGCTGAGGCGGCACCTGCAGGGAGAGACGAGGGAGAGGCCGGATTATGAACCGGGTGAAGCAGAAACTGTCCAAAAGCATCACTTCAGCAGTCATGTTAATTAACTTATGGTGGCTTGACTCATCGCTAATTTGCTACAGAATTTGCATCACAGGTTCTGAATTATTACTAAACAGAGCTGCAAAAATGTCCGTCTTCATTCATTCATATATCTTCATTGTCAGTGAATCTGAAAATCATTTTCTAGACTCACTGTTTCGTCTATAAAATTCCATAAAACATTAGAAAAGGCCCGTCACAACTTCCCTGAATTCTTGGTAAAGTTTTGTTCTGTGTAGCCAGGAGTCTAAAAACTTTCATAATGATGAAAAAAGGGTCAGAAAGCGTCACAATGAAGAAGCCGAAACCAGAGCAAGTTTTACATTTTTGCTTGAAAATGACTCACACAATCCATCCAGAAATTAAACAGCTGCCAGTAACTTTTCTGTAAACTCACGTATTGTTTAATCGAGTATGAACTGCAGCTCTACATTACAGTAAAAGTACAGTTTTTGTGCACACAGGATTTTTACAAAAAGATAATTTTGTTGTTTTCAGTAAGAGAGAAGATCCAACACATATCCTCAGCCAGGTTTGAGCGAAGGAAACTGGATCTCACGTTGGTGTTTTAACTGCTGAGCAATGGGCGTGTGTCACAAAACAGCGTTTGATCAGAACTACCACTAATTGACAGAGACGCGGAACATCAGGAACAACATGACAGCACAGGTATGCTTCTGCTGTCAATATTTCCATGACTCTCAACTCACCCCGACCACTGACAGCATTACTCATCTCCTGACAATGCAGCGTTCTGCTGGGAAACCTCGGCATTAATGTGGATGTTACTTTGACATAACACCCACCTCAATGCTGTTGCAGACCAAGCACACACATCCACACGGCAACAACACTCCCCATTAGGAGCAGCCTCCTCGGCAGGACAATGTGATCGCACTGCAAAAACTGCTCAGGAACAGCTTGAGGCAAACAGTCCAAAACACTGACCCAATCTCCAAACTCATACACAGGATGGGCTAGAGGCCCCACAGCAGAACCCAAAAGATCCACTGCCAACATCTCAACAGCTCAGGGCTCAGCTACAGACCCTGACGTGGCAGCATCAGGGAAACCTAAACAGCACGAGGTGGACGGTTTTCATGCTGTGGCTGATAGGTACAGAAGGACAGTAATAAATAACCAGCATTGCGAATTAGCTTCAAGCTAATAATGTTATTAGTATATTCATTATTGTGACAGTAACACCAAACTATCACATGCTGGAAGTTCCTGACAGATAGCTAGGAGAAGGGCTGAGAAGTCAAAACGTAGAAGCTGATAAATAATTGAAACTCTCAGCGTTACAATACAAACTGGAACAAACTTACTGAAAATCAGAGTCAAGGTTAAATGTCAACAATTCTTCGCTGACTATATAAAAATAACCACATTTAACTCATGCATTGGACAAGGTTGTGTAAAAAAAAATCAAGACAAATGCACACTTGGAATCTGTCGGGTGTCAGTTAAAGGGCATTTGAGTTCATCTTACATTGCTGCAGGGTATAACTGTTGTACTGAACCGAACTTTGTGAAAACTTGAAGCAGATATGTGCATAAATAAAAAAAATAAATAGAAAAATAAAAGGACTCTACATTTAGAGCAGCTTGGTTGGACAGTGTGTGTTTCTGTGTGCCACCTGGTAAAAGCCCTGCTCTCCTTGCATACTGTCCATGCTTCCTGATAACGGCACGCTGCCCTGACGTCCGTACTCTCGATTAAGGCCATTGGGCGGAGGAGGGGTTTGGCTGAGAGATATTTCACTGCTGGATGTGGGGATTCCTTGTTTGTGACCGGAGGAGGACGAAGTTCGCCGAGCGAGAGTTTCCTTCCTGTGATGGATCAGCTTTCTGCGACAGAGGACAGCAGCGAGTCGCATACAGCTCGTACAGAATTATGTCGTTATTGCATTGTGTTGGTCGTGCACACTCACTGCAGAACATCTCGCTGCTCAAGATTGTATTTGCCTCCGTTTTTTAAGGCCACATTGTGGATTCCCTCGATTGCTCTGTCGATAGACTGCAGCACCTCGTCCTGCTCTGGAGCCTAAAAGACAAACAGAGAGAGAGAAAAGGGAAACAGGCGAGGAGGAGATGGACACGTTAAACATTCATGATCATGGCAGCATGCTAAAGAAATTATGAAACTTTAAACAAAGCGGGACAAAATTCTGGCTTGGGGACACGGGGTGACTCCAGGCGGAAACAAACTGGGGCGGTTATCTAACAAAAACAGCCTTTTAACCAGAGTCACACGTGCCCAGCGAGGCCTCACATTCAGGCTCATTAAGTCTGCACAGCCAATGGCATTAACTACAGGAGAGAGCATTCCTCTGCTGCCAGTGTGTGAGTATGTGACACACATTACAACATGCATGCTCTGACTAGTTCCCCAGCTCCTCAGAAAGAGGAGTCTCCTCACCGCTGAGCCCATGTGGGTGTGACTGAGGGGGGAAAAAAGCTGATTTAGAGTTGTTCTGTCTAATGTAATAGATACAGAGTCACAGGAGCAGACTGTGGTGATCTGAGCAGAAACAGTGGCTCTCTGTGTTGCTGCTCTTGTCCTTGGAAGTGCTCTGTCTCATATCCTATTCTGTTTGTTCCTCCTCATCCTGTCACATCCTCCCCTGTCCCGTCCTGTATCTCCTCTCTGTCGCAGTCAGCAGCTGCAGTGCAGAGAAAAAGGCCACATAATGCAACCTTTCCAATAATTTATGGGCTCCTCTGCAAGCATACATCCTCCTGCTGCCAATGAGCAGCTCCAGCACGGCCTGCTGTGCACCGATGTACCACACTGGATGTGTCTCTCTCGATCCCATCAATTCAACCCTGCACTACGCATTCACTGGGCTCCACTTCACCCCAGGGTGCAGCGCAGCCACGGCTTGTGTTCACTCAGACCAAAGGAGGGACCATCAGGAAAGTGGTGTTTACCTGGATCTTCTCGATGTACGAGGCGGGGATGTAGCCGGTTTCTCCCGAGCTGCAGCGGGACCCCAGCCACCAGTGTTTGTTGCTCCTCTCCAGGATTAAGAAGCTTTCTCCGGCCGCGAAGTGCAGCGAGTTGGGCTCCCCGGATCGGAAGGCGTACAGAGACCGGTACATACTTTAACAACACTTTGACACCGCCAAACCACCGAGAGACGGCCACGGAAACGAGATCCGGCGACAAAAGGGCGTCCGAGTGGAAAGATCTGCTCTGCGGGAGGAGATTTGAAGCGGCTACGAAGGCATGACCACGGTGAACCGCTGCTGTCTATTTACAATGTAGCTCCGATCATCTGACCCGTCTGTTGCAGTCAGCACCGCAGGGGGCGCTGTTACGCCCTCAACACGCCCCCCAGGCATTTAAATCGAACGCAGAGCTGCTGTGCACCCAGCCAGGCATTCTAATCGGAAATAGAGCTGCTCCAACTTGAACGTTCACATTAATACACTAAAAAATAAACATAGGTGCAGCATGGCAGTCCTTCCTTTCAAACCTGACAATAAAAACCAACAAAAAAACAAAATCTAGATTCCATTAGGCACAATGGCTGTACTGAAAAAGAGGTAGAAGTACAAAAGCAAAGGAGTCAAAGCGATAAAGTAAAATCAGGCAAAAGCAGATCTAGAAAAGGATTAAATATGAGATAGAAATGTATTTTTGTCAGCACATGTTGGCCTTCAGCAAGCACATTGTCAATTACCTTTTATTTTTGTTGCGCTTATGTTAAAATATGAAGGGTAATATTTTACCTGTTATTTTATTTTCAGCAGAGAATGAGACACATTCCCAGTGACTGGCAACAGCTAGCCTGGTAGCTTAGCATTTAGCAGTGATATCTGATAACAATTACAATACATTAGTTTCCTGGCCCAAATACTGAACGTGGCGAAATGTGTAAATTATAGGTATTTTAAGACAATATATTTTTCTATAATTAACACAAATGTGAAAAATGCAATGAAAGCTTTTACAGAAAAATATTTTTCAAGCCTGAAAACAGTTCGATTTCGCGTTACACAACACCGGAAGCGGAGCGGCTGGTGTCGCACAGAATTGTTTCCCCCTGACTGTTCGTCCGTCAACATGGCCACTGCGGTGTGCGCCAGATTCCTCCTTCACAGATCAACTCCGGGGTTTCTGTTCTCCTCCAGGGCGGTACCCGCTTTTTCAAGGTATGATGGTGTTTCATTTAAGGCTTGTGATTTTATTTAGACTGAAGAAGAAGAAAAAAACGTCGTTAAAGCAGCTGTCCTGTGTCCTGACGTTCCTCCACGCTGGACGGTGACATAAACATGTTACTGTTATGAAATACCTTCATTAGTTACACGAATTTTTATTCAGTGTGTCTGTGCTGTAAGAGTAAAACCCTGGTTTGCTAGTTGTGTTGAATATCATTACATTTATGTATAAAGAACATAACTTTCCTGCAATTACAATCCTATTTTTTAAATGTTCTCTATGTCCTTCTCATTCACTAAATTAGATCTGTAACCAGCTTTTATTTTAATGTTTTTTATTTAATTTAGCCGTTGATTGTTATTTGTTTGATACCAGGTAGGTAATAGAAGGCGTAAAGTGTATCATGTTTGATTTGTATTAATACAGTTAAAACATAGGATGGAGCATTCCCACATGAGGCACCATCAAAGGGAAGATGGCATGACTTTATAAAATCATAACTTGTGGCTAATAAATAATGAGATTGGGTTTATGTGAGTCTAACAGCATTACAGCATTAGTCTCATTATTGTAAAAGCCACACCTGATACGTTCTAATTTGCAGCCCTTGTGAGTCACAGAATGCATTGCTTGTAATTGCAATTTCAATTTGAGTAATTGTTCAACCCGTACTTGTAATTACTGAACCTACTTTCAGCAGCACTGAGGAAGAATACGACTGAATACCAAACTCCAAGGAGAACTCCTGTTTTACAGACTGGAGTGTAAATATTCTGGTAATGTGGTTATTTAAAGTCCACGTACACATCATGACTGATGCAGCACACTCAAGAAGCCTGTCTCCACCTCAATGTGTGCTGCTCTCAGTTTAGAGTTTTTCTATAAATACCCTGAAGTACTGATATTCCCTCTGTCTGGCCTCTCCTTTTAGCTCATTTTATTGTTCCTCTTGCCAATTTGTCATGGTTTCTCTAAAGACAGCTGCAGTGGACATGTGGTCTGTTTTTCCCAAGTTTACTGTCAGATATAATTATGCATATGAAATAATTTCAGTGCATCTTTCCATGTTCTGGGTATGTCATGTTAATTTTGCATTATTCAGTGATAAGGGGTTTAGTCAGACTTTTTATCAGTATTGTAATGGAGAAAATTAGTTTTTACTTTTGTTGATAAAGTCACTTGAGGTTAAGTGGTGGATTGATTCCCATCTTAACAAACTGTTCACCCAGTTGTCCCCTGAAGCTGCATCACTTAGCATCTCCGACTCAGTCTGGAGGTCGTTTGTTACGTTCCCACTGTTTTCAGGGCAGGTGAGCTCATTTCTGCTGTACTGGTACAGCTGGTGAAACCTCATCCAACTAGAAAGTGCTGCGCATCACATCTCAAAAAACAAAGAATTGCTGAACTTGCTCAGATTTTTGTAGCAGTCAGGACTAAAGTGTGACAACAGGGTAACATTTGGTGCAGCTCCTTTGATGAGCAGAACAGTTTGTTTCTGGCTTGCAGAAAAAGGCCTAAAGCTGCTGGCTGGCAGCCCTGTCAGTAGGTTGGCGTTAGATTTTTGGCTTTTAAAGTGGGCCGCTTGGCAGCAGTTCTGCAGGGCAGCCTGGTTTTGTGCAATTTAAATCGATGGAGAACGTACAGAGATGGGATCACAGTTACAGAGTCTGTTTCACAGTTTTGCAGGCCACAATAATTTGCAGTAACAGTACTGAAAATAAACGAGAGCAAATGATCAGAGCTCGGTGTAGAAATGGTTCTAACTTTATTTTCCTGTCTTCCGTTCCAGCCCATTTCTGTCTCGTGCTCATAGACTGGAACCTGGTGATGATGAGTTGTACCAGCGTACCACAGTGTCCATCATGCAGAAGGAATCCGGTGGAGGGATCTTGATCTCCTCCTACAGTGCTGCAGGTTTCAGCATTGATGGAAACAAGGTGTTTGGGCCCTGCGCTGTGCTGAGTCCTGCTATCCTGCAGTGGAATGTGAGATCAATATTCAAACTACCCCCACAGCTCCTAGCTTGTTGCATCATTTGTTTCTCTCTATTTCATTTGAACAATTATCACTGGGTTATTAATTGTTTTCAATCTCTGTCTGCAGGTTGGCACTTATAAAGACATCACAGAGGAAAGTGTTTCACTCTTCCACATGCTTGAACCAAGAATAGGTACGAACAAAACCACATACAGATGGGTGACAGATTAATGGAGGAACTGATACAATGCCAGTGGCAGTGTTTACAGTTTTTGGAAGCATAGCTCCAGAGTATACAGTATTCTCTCATGTGGTGTTTGAATGATGATGTGGTAGGCGTCAATACATCAGTCTAAAATCTCTAATGTGTGTTCAGCTGTTTGAGATCTGATGACTAGAAGAGCCATAGAATGTGATTCTCATCAGTTTCACATTCATTGAAGCATTCAGTGAGCCGTTGTGCTCTCTACAGAAGCCTCTTCTTATTTATTGTTAGCCTCCATGTAATGAGGTTAGTGTGAGATTGAATCAAGCCGGAGGGACGCTCTGATTTGTTGTCATATTGTTGTCTACACTGTCTATACTGCTGATGCTCCAGACAGAGATTTGAAATCCAAAGTGGTTTCAGTGCTTTTTTTTTGTAATATCTGTGGGTCAGCAGGGAGCCACTACCACTACTTTCCCACCTTGTAAACTAAATCTGTTCATTACTGTTCTACCAACCATATCTAAAGTCGTTTCTTTACCTTGCTAACTAGCTAAATTTAGAAACATGTAAACCGTCTAGGGACCTAATGTACCACCTGAGCCACAGCTGCCAAGACACTCAGCTGGTCTTTTTTTTTGAAAATGTATGGTTAGCAGATACCAAACAATACAACAGGCCACTTGAGCGCACGTCACCCCGCTGTTCAGATCGCTTCACTGGCTTCCAGCTGCTGCCCGCATCAAATTCAAAACTCTGACACTTGCTTACAAAACCACAATGAGAACAGCTCCTTCCTGCCTGAACTCTCTCATTCAGACCGACACTCCCTCCTGCTCACTGCACTCGACCAACAAAAGCCGTCTGATACAACCACCGCAACAGGGCCGAGGTCGATAGCTGGACGCTTCTCCTCTGTGGTTCCCCGGTGGTGGAACGAGTCACCAAACTCTGTTCCATCTGCTGACTCCCTCTCAGTCGTTAAGAAAAGACTAAAGAGCAGCTCTTCACTGAACATCATTGCACTTGACAGACTGAAAAAAAGAAGAAAAAAAAAGAAAATCCTGTTACCTCCCATGCAGCCTGCAATTAGCATCAACGCCCAATCACACTTGAACTTGTTCTATGGCACTTATCTAGATTGTTTTCTCCTGACTAGATCCTTGCTTGTGTTGTATCTGCTCTCAGATGTGCGTCGCTTTGGATAAAAGCATCTGCCAGATGAAACCGTAGAATCATATGCTGGCTACAAAAGCCAGCCAATCCTGATGGAACCCCATGTTGACAACTTTACAGCAGAAACAGCCATGTTTACCGCCCGGTACAACAGCCGGTTTAGTTCTCGAGCTAATTTCCCTGTTTATGCATGTTTTAAGTTCTGCATAGTTCACGGTGTGGCTGTTTTGAGCGGCATCGACTCAGAGATGGTTGCACGGCCCGTCTCAGCTCCACTCGTTCTTCACCTCTTTGCTCATTTTTGGATTAGCAATGAGCTCGGAGGAGTCAGGGACTGTTAAGATGGTGACAGCTGGAACCAACGCACTGAGCTTCACAACCACCGTTCAGGACATTTATGGGTGATGTCACGGCGGGTTTGTCTGTCCAGTCAATGAAAACAACCAATCATGGCAAAATAAAGCGTTCCACCGGCTGATCCAGTCTCACTCCAACTATGACTGCTTCATGTCGGTGAACATATGGCATATTTATTAGGTAAAAACAAACATTTCCTCATGCATATCTTTGTTCTTGTCTTCTTGCTTTATGCAGAGATTCTTGTGATCGGTACAGGCCAACGGCTCGAACGGATTGACCCCTCAGTGTTGGCTCTTCTTAGGCGTAAAGGCATTGCTGTGGAGGTGCAGGACACGGTAAAGTATTCCTTAAAGCAGTGTTAGTGAGACAGTATGACACACAAAGGCTGAGAGACGTCTTACTGTCTGTAAACATGACTTTAAAGCAAATTGAGCTGCCCTACATTTACATTCATGCTTTATTTGTAATGTCTGTGGTTTTGCAGCCGAATGCGTGTGCAACCTTCAACTTCCTGACCAGCGAGCGAAGGGTGGTGGCTGCCGGTCTGATCCCTCCTTCTGGCAGCACGGCCCTCGAAGTGAAAGGGGAGTAAGTGTTGTGATGTCAACAAGAACTGATGACTGTAGATGTGACTTCTGCACAAAGCTCCCAGAGGAACAAACCCAGCGACATCCCGCTCTGATACTTACAGCAGTTGCTTTATTTATTTATAGATGAAGGCAATTAAAGCAGCCGCTGTCGCCCGGTGATCCGAGGCATGCTCTGTTGAGCCGCGAGCTACCACCAATTTCAGATTTCTCTACAAAGTAAAAACAAATTGACAGTAGTTTTGTATACTGATGGTGTTGGGTTGACATGCAGTCAGCATTTGTACATGAGACAGCACTGTTATGATGTCGGCAACCAAATTTGGATTTGAAAATCTAGATTTAGAGATGAACGCAGCGATGTGTGCATGTGTTTAACATGAACAAGTGCTCTGGTGAATGTGAAGTGAGGTTGCCAGTGATGGAGAATAAAGTTTATTTGTATTCTTGTATTTAATTACTCGTCTTCCATGTATAAAATATTTATGGTTAATGCTTTACAAGTGTAATGCATTTAATGTATTTTTGCGTATATCATAAATATATAGTAAGACCAACTCAGCAGACTGTATATTTCATTTTAGATGCCATCTGTACACCTGTTAAATGGGAAGTCTATGCAAAAAGAAAAGAGATGTTACATGTGTGAGTGTGTCCCAGTCCGCTACCTGAGGTGGTGATGGGGGCGACTGTCCTTCATTTGGATAAGCCTCTTTACTCTGTGCGTCTGTCCACCCGCTGCCTCCAGCAGCATATGACATAATTCAGTGGCTTTGTCCGTCTCGCACGTAAGCCCCATAGAGACGAGAAGCCACAAATCCTCCACACATCACAGTGCTTCATCTGTAATCATCTGCTCTGCGTCAGCCTGAACGTTTAAATCTCAATCAGTCACATGCAGGCTGCTGCGGCTGAAACATAGTCGAGCTGACAGATGCTTGAGAAAAATCAAGAATGTTTCCAATCAGAGTGATGCATTCGTATCAAAGGTGACTTCCAAATTAGCTAAGCAGCTAACAGCATACTGAATATGAAGTTGTCTTTAATGTGCATGTAGCCTTATTTCAGTGTGATGTATCTCTCAATAGTGGACTGTCATTTTTAGACAAATGCAGGAGGAATTTTGGTTTCCACACAAAGCAGCGTGCTCGGATTTTACTTTGTTGTAAACTATAAAACCAAAGAACTGCAGAAAAGAAACTGTATTATAGTTACATCGCTGATTTACTGTTACGTTGTCTTGTAGCAAAAACAGATACAGAAGATTGAAGTGATACGACTGAAAAAAGATGTTTCCCAAACAATTCAGCAAAAATCCTGTTTTACAGATTTCCACAAACAGAAAAGTAAAAAGCAAACAGATTAGAGGAACAAAACTCATCCAGCGTTTACGAAGCACACTCAGAGTTCCCTCTACATGCTACATAACACCCGCTGCCTTACAGCTGCACAGCATAATCATCATTATTTCATTCTGGCCTCCAGCTGTTGAATCATTTGGTCCTGATGTTACACGTCTGCCTCAGTCTTCATCAGAGTTATGAGACTGGTGTCGTGAGCCCATAAAGGAGAGCTCTGCCCCGGTGAGCCGGCGGTACATGTCTTTGATGTCTTGACATTCAGCCTCAAAGTGGTTTGTTGCGTCAAACGAGCGAGACACAAATATCTATGTAGGAGAGAGAAACAGGTGAAATTACAGCCACCACGCTTCTTTACATTTCGTGATTTGTGGGTTGTCTTGTGGTCATCACCTGACTCTTGGTTCCATCTTCTTTTGGAACTAGCAAGTTGCTGACAGACACAAATCTGGTTCAGGAAATAGAATCAGTCAAACAGCTGCAGTTTTAATGACGCTGCTATAGAAAATAGAAATAAAAAAGGGAAGTGAAAACTAACTTTTGCATGATGGGCTCGAGGAGCTCCAGCCCCGGCTGCACTTCTTTTTCTGGGTTGCTGGTTTCTACGGTGGTGCTCACTGTGGCGATGTACATCCCGTCTGAGGCCACGTTGTGAGCAAAGGAGACGACAGAAATATAGATGTCTGTGTGGACAAAACAGAGGCAGGAACAATAAGCCAGGGGGGCAGTGTGAGCTAATCTGGGTGTAAAATGACCAACAAGTGTAACTTTGATTTATTTTCAGGCTTTAAAAGACAACATACCTGTTTTTCTGTTGAGCTGTGTTTGAGGGATGATGATCTGACAGGAACTGGCCTCGTGAGTGTTTTTAACTGGATGGTTTAATAAACAGATCACCCTTATGACCCGGCCGACTTTCCTGACCCGGTTTGGAACGTAGCTGGGATCACAAATCAACTGTTTGCAGTGGAACAGCTGTTGGAGGGAGAGAAAAGACAAAATCACTGAGTGCACAGTTGCACTGTTGGACATTTCCTTTGTTGTGTCTACTGCACCTTCCCCTCAGATTTCACAGCCGTCACTGTGCCGTTGTCCATCACAATCTCATCCACTGTTCTGTTTAACAGGAAGGTTCCTCCATATTCTGCACTCAGTCTGAAACAAACAGAAACAGGTAACATGAGGAAAACATTCTAGATTATAGCAGATTACATAAATCCCTGAGTGTTTCCATTAAAGTTCCTTTGCCGTGAGTGAACCTCATCTCTGTTAATCTCGGTTATATATTTAGAAGTTGAATTTTTCCAGGAAAGCAGCCCCTTTCTTCTGCAAAATGTCTTAGATTTAATTCCACACTGTTGTTTTCTCTAGAATATACCGATCTATGAAGCTCCTACGTCCTTCTCGACTCACCCCTCCCAGCTTGCTGCCGCTCGAGCACACCAGCTCGCCGTGAATCTGCTCAAACACTGTAATACTACGCCACACAGCGGCAAGTTGTAATATTGCAGTAATTCTTCTGTCCTGTAAGTGGACAGAACTGCTCCTTTAGGTCTGTTACATTTGAAATCCCAGAAATATGAATCTGTGTTTCTGAGACTGTCATCAGTACACTGCGGTTTTAAGGTGGAAATGCTCAACTGTGGCATTTTACTGTTTATTTCACTAAAGTTGTATCTTCCAGCATATGAAAAAAACACTTTATGGATATATAAACAAGGTAAAAAACCTAATTTTCAGTGGAGGACGTCTTTAGCATTTTTGAGAATTGCATCAAAATATAGAAAAAGGAAACCTGCTAAAAAAAAAAAAAAACATCAGTCACTACTTTGTTCTGTAAATTACATGAAACAAATCTTCACCACATCACTGATACAGAACTAGTGTGAGAGTAACCTGGCGAATCCCTGCGGTAGTTCTCCCAGGCCGTACACGGGGTACAGGTATGGACTGGTGTTGTGGCGGGACAGAGACTCACAGTAGAGCCTGATCCTGCTGATAGTCTCCACACAGGGCTCGTCCAGGTAACTGCAAGGACACCAGGGAACAGGTTTGGATCATCCCTGATTATTTATTCCAGTCTTGTCTGATTTTTTTTTAAACTCCTGTAACTGACCTCCCACTGCTGTGCAAGGCTATAGCGTGACCTATGACCTCTGTAACTTCGAGGCCCAGGTCAAAGCGAGCGAACAGGTCCCGCGTGGTGGTTTTCTGAGGATCCATGTCCTGGTAGGTGCGAGGATTTCTCACGTCAAAGTTCAGGGCGAAGAGCAGCAGCTTCTTGAACCTTCTCTTGTCAAACATGCCCATCAGATCTGAAAATGTTTTTTTAATGTTAGAAAAGACACACGCACGAGGAAAGTTATCTCAAAAAGTGCAACGACTTGCTCATCACCTGAAGCGTGAGCGTCTTCCTCCGTAGCAGGGACTTTGTGTACTTTTCCTCCTTTGTATACATAGCTGCCTTCAACAACTTTGAAGTCCAGATAGCGAGTCACCTCAGTGTGCACCAAGATTTTAACCAGCTGACCTACAGCACGGCAACAAATGTTAATGGAATAATTAGCTTTGCGTTACACAAAGAACACTTTAAGATTAGCAGCATCTGACTCTCACCAGTGGCAAGAAAAAATTTGGGGATGAGGTCGATGTTCCACTCTTTTCCACGGCTGGCGGATTTAGAAGGATTTGGAACCTGGAACTTCTTATACAGCTGTAAATAAAGTTAACATCTCATATCAGTGATGCAGCATTAAGTTTTGATAAAGTAAATATTAATGTGTGAGTTACCTCTTCCAGGGGAGAAATAGAAGCGCTCTCTCCTCCATAGTAAGGATTCTTGTCAATGTGAAGAACCTTTTTCCCGCTTAGAGACATTAAACCAGAGAGGATACATTCCTGAAAGAGACAGTGGAGAAGTTAGTGGGTGAAATGGTTTCAGGATTATGCAGCAGTAGTTGATATGCAGATCAGGACTAATCATATCATTTCACTGCCATAAATCCCCTTTGACAGCCAGCAGGAGCTCAGTGGGTCTGCATGTGGATGACCAGTCCAAGTGTGAAAAATATGGGAGGAATTTCACTGTTAGACTAACTTTGCTATCATGAATGAGATTAGAGTTAATCTTAGTGACGGAGAACAAAAAAAACGACAAATGATTTCATATGTTTTAACCCCTTTAGACCTTTATGTTGCATCAAGTCTTCATGGGTTGAAGTACAAAACTTAAACGTGCTTCTCTACATCTGAGCAGTTTGATTATAATAAGGGTGATAACAAACGTACTTTCCAGAAAGGACAAATCTTGGTCGTGGCATGATTCCCTCTTTTTTGTAAAATAAATTGCACGTCCATCCATCCATCCATTATCTATGAACACCTTAATCCTCACTAGGGTCATGGGGGGCTGGAGTCTATCCCAGCTGACTCAGGGTGAAGGCAGGTTCACCTGGACAGGTAACCAGTCTATCACAGGGCTACACTTAGAGACAGACAACCAAGCACACTCACATTCACACCTACGGACAATTTACAATCACCAATTAACCTCAGCATGTTTCTGGACTGTGAGGGAGGAAGCCGGAGAACCCGGAGAGAACCCATGCTGCACGGGGAGAACATGGAGACTCTTAAATTGCGTGTGATCTGAGAAAACAAAGCTTGCACTGGCATCTAAGTGGATTTATGCCTGTAATGACTAGATTTTAGTGTAAATCAAGTAGTGAAATTTTGTCTAATGGTTGCAGAAAAACTGAACTTGTACTTCATTTCTTGCAATTTTCATTAAAATATATCCTAAATGTACTTTATTCTTGCACTAAAGACAGCACAATAAAAGACAGCTGAGTTTGTGGAGCTGAAACTCTGCAGCCTTTGAAAAAAAAAAAGTGCCACTTAAGAGGCTAAACAAGTGAACCGACAGCAGGCGTAACATCCTGTTAGCTGACAGACATTTTCTACTTTTCTCCTCTTCATCAAGTCATCTTACCTTGAGTCCAGTTCCAAGCACTATAATGTCGTATTCCTGCATCCTGACTTATTCCTTCACCGAGTCTCAGTGCTTTTCCTCACTGCAGCCTGTTGCAGTGAGTGTGTGAGTGTATGTTGATGATAGGTGACAGTAATTGCTGTGTGTTCTCCTTTGCAATAATCCTCTTAAAACTGGCACATCTATGCAATGTGTATGTGTGACAGAGAGAGAGGGTGTGAGCATTTGACAACAAGAGGTTGTGTTGCTCAATCACAGCAGATTGAGGTATTTAATGAAGATGACAAGCATGGAAGCAGTATTCAGATCAGTTGCTTAAGTAAAGTATTAATACACTATTATAAAAGTACTCTATTACAAGTAGTCTGCTCAAAAAGAGAAGCAAAGCATCAAAACTAAAAATGATTTTGTCATTTTCTTGGTTGATGAATCAACTACCATTTTAAGTCGGTTGAGGTGGAACTGGGGTTTAGTCTAATAAGATCGGCTCCTTTAACTGACAATACACATCTCAAGCTTGACAATATCCCCCAACTAGACTTGTTATGACATTGTAGAGTCCTAACATTAGTATTTAAATTGATGAGCTAAATTTATAAACGACTAATATTGTAGGGTGTGATATCAGTTCATTGTTTAGCCCTTGTCTTAACCTTAACATTTAATTTAGATGGTAAATTAGTATTTTTTTTAATTTTTTAAATTGTGTAGGATCTTCATTATCTACATTTAAACTTGTTTTGAAACACCAATCTTATGTCTGTTTGGCTCTAAGGCTTGACTTGACTTAACGCTCCTGGTTTTGCAGAACATACAAACCAGCTCATTCTTTAACCGTGTACAATTGTGAATTATTATTTTGAATTATTATTATCTAAATTTCACAAGCAACTAACTGTCCGGACAGTGTAGTGTAGCAAAAATATGAAGAAAGTTCTATTAGTCAGATAAGATACCTTAAACTTGGAACCAGTTACCCTACTCGAGTCAATACTTATTTATGATTTATAAATAAGCTATTATTTTCCACCACTAGGTGTCATATCATGAGCAACATGTACCCAGAACACAATCTGTGTTGTTAGTATGCTTGTTTTGTTTTTTTTTAAACAGTGTCAGTTTCTAAATTTAAAAAAGGAATGTGATACCTTCATCCTCAGAAAAAGTGTAAAATAAAATAAAATAAAAAATAAATCATTAAAATATCTATAACAATAAATTAGAACCAGTGTCAGGGTTCATTTTGCTTCACTGCCACAAACTGTTCAGTTCTGGACGCCCTGCTTCTAAAACTACATTTCCCATGATGCCTCGAGAAGAAGATGCCGGGTTGGAACGGATTTCTATGCGCTCGTTTTTATTTACCAGGGCAGCCGGAAGGCAGGGTGCGGGACACAAGCTTCAATATCTCGTAATGACTCCGCCTCTCCGGGATACTCCGGAGTCTACGTGCGAGCGGACCTGTTTGCAGCATACTGTCGGTTTACCGCCGCTAGCATCTCCGTGACTTTTCTCTGTGGAGTTAAACAAGTCAGAGAAATGTCTTCAGCGCACACAGTGAGTAGTTTAATTACACTGCTTTGGTTTTACCGGAGAAACAACAACTAATCCTGGATATCTGTGTGCAGTTTACGTGGCTTTAATGCGATGTTAGCATCTTAACAACCGCCTTTTCACCTTCAGTTTTATCTAACTTGCTAACTCTTGGTGAAGTAATTAGCTCACCGGTTCAATAAAGTGCATGTTTCAGTACTGATAGTGGCATGTCATAGCAGTTAGCCGCCGTTTGCTGATCACTAATCACGCACTGAGACGTGTCAAAGAGTTTAGGAACTACAAAAGAGGTGTGTCGTGTGTTAACGCCTAATTCAGTGACTTGGGACACAGCGTTATTAGCTGGTGCGTTCACTGACCCAGCTGTAATAAGTCCAGATGAAATGAGCTAATTTACAGAAGATGTGCTGGGAGTAACACCCAGCATCACTAGAGGAGGTCAACTTTCCAAGAGTTTAATCTGTTTGATTCTAATTTTATTTTATATGATTACTGACATAAGAAGAGCTTATATAAACAGTACAAGAAAGAATAAGGAGTATAAAAGTTCAATAAGGCTGAATAAGGTGTTCACAAGTGAGAAAAGCAGCTCTCTGACAGTTTAATTCTGAGGTATTTGTTAATTAAATGTACCTTGGTGAATGCCAGGCAGTACTTTCCTCTATTTATTATTCTTTAAATTAATCATGTAAAGATGGAAAATAGGTGTTTTAAGTTCTTATAGCATACATTTGTGTCACTTGAAGGCACCGTATGAGACTATACCTGAATCAGAATCAGCTTTAATGGCCAAGTTCGTCCACAACATAACAAGGAATTTGGTTTGGGCTGTTGGTGTCGCCCTAGGAATGAGCAAAGAGAATAATAGACATAGAAAAATAAAATAACAATAACTATAGAAAGAAAAAAATAAGGATGGCTCAGCTGTTCAGTAGAGTTATGGCAGTGGGATTAAAACTGTTTTAATGTCTGCTGGTTTTAGTCGCCTGCTGGAGGGGAGGAGGGAGAACCTGTAACTTGTTAGGTTGGTGGAGCAAATATAAATCCAGAGCTACTAGAAATGATGCTGGCTGAAAGGTAATTATTTGGGTTAAAAGTCAGTAATGTCATCAAGGGTTTTCCTGCATAGAGGAACTTTTGGCACAAACCAGAGAGGTCCTTATTTACACCGTAAGATCATCACCAGCTTTAAAATGATAAGATTTCAGAATAAAAGCAGCTATTTTGATGATTGAGGTTTCATATCCTCAAGCATAACAGACATTTTTGCTAATCAAATGGTCATAAATTAAAGGATCGATCAGCTTACTGTCGTATGTGGTCTCTCCCCAAAACGTCTGTTATGAGCCCGGAAATGAAAATAAAAAATGAACATCTATCTTTTGTTGTGGTTATTGTTGCTTTTCAACTTCAGTTTTTCTCTTTCTCTATCTTAGTTTTCAGACAGAGACCCAGACCAACACAAGCGTGTATCCACAAAGTCAAACCCTGGATTTCTGGAGCGATTAAGTGAAACTGCTGGAGGGACAGTTGTGGGCATCGGACTGTTTTTCCTCTCAATTTACGTTCTGTTCACCAATGAGGTAAGCAGTAGTCATACAGGGGAGAACAGTTGCTTTCAAGTACCTCCCGTTAAAGCAGACGTAATCAATCTATTGTCAAATCATCGACCAGCAGGCTAAAGACGAGGCTCTCTCTCTCTGTAACTGTGTCTCTGCAGGGACGAGCTCTGCAAACGGCATCTTCGCTGGATGAAGGTCTCTCTCAGGTTGTGTCACTGGGGCCGTTTTTAAGCCTCGACCCGCAAAACAACAACCGCTTAGTTCATTTGTCTGCACAGCTGCGGACCCAACAGGTAGGTCATCCTCCAGTTTGAACACTGCCTATTTAAGCTTCTCATAGCGTTCACACATACGCATGCATATGTCATAATAACAACGAGAGTCGGTACAGAAACGTTTTCTTGAGTCGTAGGTAGTTTAGGAGCTTTGTCTTGTGATTGTCAGTCAGAGAGTCTTGGCTCGTTTTAATTCAAATGTAGTGCAAACTCGACTAGAAGTTTTACACAACTGGCAAAAGAACACGCAAAATTATGCTAGTTTCCATTCATTACCCGTTAGTGAATATTATTATCCTTAGCTGATGATGATACTTCTGCAGTTTGGTGTCATTTTACCGGTGCAGTGATTAAAAGAGCCTCAAACAGTGAAACAGAATGGACAAAAAACTTATGAAACGTAGCATTTATGTTTATTTTATGCATTATTTCAAAGAAAGTTCGCTCAGACCAGATTAGATTAGACTTTACTGTTGCTCTCGTAGTTTAATCGTAGCATCTGGACTTGCTTGAGTTCCTTGAAGACGTTCCACTTCTCATCCAAGAGGCTTCATCAGTTCTGACTGACTAGTTCCAGATGCTGATATCCTTAAGGAGCCGTTACTCAAGCAAGTCCAGTTGCTACGATTAAACTACGAGAATAACCACGACCGCCTTTATATTCAAACCACAGTGGACATGTGTTATAACACTAAGATCAATAAACAGAACAGATTTTAAACAGTAATACATTAAAAAAAGTTGCACAGATGGACAGTAAGACGCTGTCATGTTATTAAAGAAAGGCACCTTACACTAGGACTTTACAAAGATGCACTACGCAAGATAATTCACATTTCCCACAGCAGAAACCGTCACCTAAACTAATCTAATGCAGCTTACAGGTCCTGACTTCAGTAAAAACTCTCATGTGCACCTGTCCTGTGTCTGTGTAGCCTCTACATGACCCCAACTACAGAGTGGTGGTGCAGGCAGTGAAGCTGAAGAGGCAGGTGGAGATGTATCAGTGGGTGGAGTACCGGGAGAGCAAGTGAGTCCGCTGCCTGCCTGCATGTCAACACTCAGGGTGGGGTCAGGTGTAAAAAAATGTTGGCTGGACGACAGAGCATTATTACACTGAATGACTTTCTGTGTTTCAGGGACTACCAAGAGAACGGAGAAACCAAGACGGAAACGACCTACACCTACAGTGAGTTTCTGTTGTTGAGGCTGTAGCCGGTTGGCAACGGGGTGAGCGGTTTGTCTGGTTGAAGCTGTGCAGTTGGTTTTGATGTGAAGTGAAGCAATGCCATTTATCTTCTGTAGACACCGAGTGGAAGTCGGAGCTGGTCAACAGTCGGAATTTTGATAAGGAGATCGGTCACCAGAACCCGAGGTAGTAAAACGATTTGAGGCGATAATTTTTTTAGTGTGTTTTCAGCCCGTTCTCACTCCAGTCTTTGTGTCTCAGTGCGATGGCGGTTGAGAGTGTGACCGTGGTGGCTCCTGAAGTCCGAGTGGGGCCGTTCATTCTGTCCAAAGGTACCTCTCTGAACAAACAGACGCCACCTCGGATGCGTGTAGATTTTATCTCCTCGGTTAATTTCTTGTTCACCCTCAGGCCTGGTGGAGCAGATAGATAACTTCCAGACGCTGAGTCTGAGGGACTTCTCTGCCTTCAACTTGGATCCTTATCTCTCCATTGATGACGATTATTTCTACCACACTCAGCAGCCGCGCCGGCCAGAGGTGAGCATCAACACACCGACTTCTTACATTCGGTGTGTTGTTTTGTACATTCTGCTTATTACATTTTTTTGTTTTTACAACACAGATGCACAAACAGTAAACACGCATGATCATTACAGGAACAAGGAGTTTGTGGCGTTAGTTGCACAGAGGAATGATGCAGTCGCCAATATGATGCGGTGAAATATAACAGTCAAAATAAAATATGAGTCAAACCCGTGCCCTCTGTTCCCTATTCAACAATATGGCGATTGACCATCATATTACAGATTTATGTCCAGGTTATCATCAACCCCCTAAAAGTTTCAGTGGCTTCCTCCGCTTTTGGGAGTCCTTCCACTGATATAAACTTTTTCCACAGTCACGACCTCAGAGGTAGCAGGTGGCGTCCTCTCCCACCCGCTTTACCGTTACGGCTTTTCTCGCTAACATTAGAAGCGCTTGAATCTTTGGTGTGTTGTTTTGAATCATGTCATCCCCACTGTGGCTCCAGCTGAGTTGTTGTTTGTGTACGTTCATGAGGTTGGAGATGTGCGCGTGAGATTCTCCTTCGCTGGACTGAGTGGTGAGACCTCCCAGCTCGGCCCGGCTCAGACAGTAGGTGCTACACATGATCTGCTCTCATGTTCGTTAAGCTAACGATGCCTCGCTGAGTAATAACTTTACGCATTCTTTGTCTTCTGATTCATATTATGTTGCTGTTTGTCACAGGTAGTAGTTAAATATGTTGATAAGGATTTGTGGTTTTTGTCCTGATACCGTTTCAATCACATTCAGTCAGAAGCCTTTAACACAATCAGTCACGTTTATATCAACTCACTAAAATACCATTTGACATTTTTATTTCTGAACTCTTGTGGACATTAAATAGAATAGAATGCTTGACATTGTCATCAAAGTACGGCGACATTAAAAGACAACTCCAGTGGTGCCAAATACAGGTTTAAAATAAGACAAATAAGAATATAGAAATATATTTATTAAAGGAGCCAGTAGGAAGCATGTAGAGTTAGGAACGAGCAGCTAAACGGTAGAATAAATAAACTGCACTGTCGAGGTTAGAACACTGAGATTATATGAGAAATATAAATAGTATTAAGAAATAAATAATTATAATATAAATAATACATATATATGATAAAAAAATAAATAAATAACGTTTTTTTTAAATAAAAAGAAAACAATAGTCCTTCTGTTCACCGTATTTAAGTGATGATGGCTTTCATTCGTTATCTCAATGATCATGATTAATTTTCTCACTTTGCATCAACTACATTAGATCTTTGATCCCTGAATCGTTGTACTGATAAATCTAATCCTTATTAAGGTGCGTCCAAATCAGTCCAGTATTAATTAGTAGTTTTTAGTTAAATTAAGTATTTTAGTGGTGATTTGTGAGATCAGTCGATAGTTGAAGTACTTCATCAAACCTGCACTATTTCTGGTCACGTATATGAGAGGATTTATTACAACTCTACTGAACTGTTGGATGGAAAAAAAACAATCTAAAGTTTAATCAGTAATAAAAAATAATCATCAGTTTCATCCAGAGTTTTATTAATCGTTTATAGTTTTTTACTTAGAATCTGGAAACTACAGCTCATGATTATTTTTAACGAGTGATTATTTTCGATTAGTACTGAGGTTTTTTTTTTCTTAATTATAGTTTTAGTCGTAAAATATGACGTTGAATCGAACAAGTTTGTATAAAATTGTTTAAAAAGTTAGCTGAAAACGGCACACAGTGAACATTAGCAGAATACATGTATAGTTGAGTTTATACGCTATAAAGTTAAAACGCAGCGTGGAGTTGAGAAGAGATGCCATGAACTTGTAAAACGTGACTATTTCTTTCAGCACGTTGCACTTACAGTCTTCAGATCACTTACTTTGTCCAACCAACAATCCAACACTCAGTTAATTCAGGTTACTATAAGCTGAACAGACGTGGCACATCCTAGCGTTTTGTGATTATCTAAACATCTGCTGATTACCTAATAATTGTACTGACTGAGCCTCTTAGCATCCTGTTAGTTTCTACAGTGCACCAACGGTCTGGGCTGTTTTCCAGGTCAGTCTTGTGGCCATGCAGCGAGGGGAGCAGCTGCTGCCCTTTAAAACCAAGTCGGGAGACGTTCTGGAGATCCTTTATCTGGAGGAACTTTCTGCAGAGGTCAGCGTGGATTTCATTTCATTTGTTCGACCACTGTTACCCCCCTGGGGGCAATAACGTGTTCTAATATCTGCGGCGTTAACTGGTTGGTATTTGTGTTGTTGTCTGTAGGAGGTGTTTGCGAGGGAGCACCAGCACAACACCATGAAGACGTGGGGGCTCCGGGCTGCAGGCTGGGCGCTCATGTTCCTCAGCATTCAGCTGACCATGCGCATCATCTACACATTAGGTAAGTTCACTGCTGATGCACGATGTCCATCCGTCCCTGCATCTGTCGTTCACGTTCCCTCTGTGGTGTGCCTGCAGTGGACTGGGTTCCCGTTCTCAGGGAGCTGGTGTCCGTCGGCCTGAAGATCTTCGCCCTGTGCGTCTCCTCGTCGCTGTCGCTTCTCGTCATCGCGGCAGGTTGGCTTTTTTACCGCCCGCTGATGGCTGCAGCTCTGGGAGCGCTCGCTCTGCTCCCGGTGCTTCTCGCCCGCTCCAGACTTCCAGCCAAGAAGAACGAGTGACTGTCGAGCTGATGAGCGGACAGCGTTGTTCACGCCTGGCTGCAGCTGTCGGTCTGAGGTGTGAGATGGGATTGTGCAGCCTGGCTTTTTTCACAACATCCATCCGTGTGCATCACAGAAGAAATGCATTTGTGTGCAAAAGGCAACCCTGGTGCTGTTGTTTTATCATGGACGAGTGGGAGAATTCTGCTTCTGCATTCAAATATTATCAGTTGGGGCCTTTTTAGGGGTTCGTCAACGTCTCATTTTCACTGTAAATATGACTCAGCAAAGTTGTTCTGTCGACTCAGTTGAGACGAGGTGGTCGATACAACGGGCCTGCAGTAAACCACCTGAAGGTTACGTCCTCTTTGTTAGACAGGTGCTCATTCCACTTTATGTTGGAGGCAGTTTGTGCTGCTCAGCTCAGCTGTTATACTGGTAATAATTAGTCTGCATACAAAAAACAGTAACCTACACAAAGACAGGAGTTATTGCACTGTTGTATTAGGCTGCATTAGTCTCAGCGAAGTGGATCCAACAACTGTGTGACTGTTTATTTTTTTATGTAATCTTCACATATTCTTTATTGGCAGCACTCAATATGTGGCATAGCTTATTAAAATTAATTGTCCATAAGCTGAAAAAGATACCAAAGATTTTGTTTGTATGCTGAACGATGGTGAATAAAGCACTTTTTGTGTTGGTTTGAGTTTTCAAACATTTGGCTCATGTTGCTAATGAGGATATTAGTTTATCACAGAGACGCGACATAGGAAGATGATGTAGAAACATTAGTTTGTCCACCAGAGAGCACTGACGCATTTATTTTTTTGTCCAAATGTCTTGATCAGTACATATCTTAATGTTTTATTAGGGATTCTTATAAAAAAAAGCTTCAGAAATCCATTATCTGTCAGGCTCTAAAGACAAGGCAGCAACCAAAGAGCGGCTTGTGTTCATGTGTAATGTCCACCGTAGTGCACTGCAGCTGACCCCGACTCTGAAATCCAAAAACACCTCCAACTGAACAAGTTTCATCCTTAAAAATGTTTCGCTTCAACATCACGCTGTACCCGAGTGGGGCTGTGATGCGCTCGTTAGATGTCACTCGGCGGTTATCAATCAAGTGATGCAAATTATCAAGATTCTTACAAAGTAATTTATTACACAAAACACTAAGTTTCCATTTGCGTTTTAGCAAAAATCGGCTTCCAGTCTCATGTTGTGCACGTGATCATGATGCACGTTAAGATTTGTAATGAAGCACACGAAACAAATTTCGACTTCATGTGTGCGTCGGCTTGCTGAAATAATTAAAGGACGACAGGTCACAGTGTGCAGGTACTTCGCCCTGGTTGGCTGTGGAGACATTCCTCAGATCAGCAGGCAGGGCTTAAGCACTTGACTGTAGTTGGCGGGTACGACACAGCGGGTCCCCTGGCTGACCTTTTCGATTACATTGAACGTATTGATAAAGGAGGTTTCGTTATGGCAAATTTACTCATGTTAAAAGTACAAAAAAGTATCTTCCATCACCTCAAGGTTGAATACTGACAGAACCTGACTACTTTTGCTTAAGACAAAAAAAGTAAAAGCATTACACCTTTAGTAAAAACCGGGGAGAACAGTCTTTTGTGTGGATGTGTTTGGGGGGGGGTAGGTTTGACCTAATTCTTCTTCTCTCCCCCTGTAGGAAGCAGTCCTCAGGCCTCCGTCTACAGTAGGACGCATTTATTGCTCTTCTTCCCCCGCCTGGCCTGTAGTGCAGCCCTGGTGGCCATCTCGAACACTTCCCTCACGCCGTCCTTTGTTTTTGCAGAGCACTCCATGTATCCGAAGGCACCGATCCTGTTCGCCATGTCCCGCCCATCCTCTGTTTTCACAGGTTCCTACAGAAAACACCGACACACAGGAGCTTTTAGGAAACACGTCGTCACTGGTTTTATATGCTTGCGTGTGGTGTGAAGTTTTACCTGCTTCATTTTGGCAAGTTCCCTCCGAGTGTGCTCGTCGTTGCGCAGGTCCTTTTTATTTCCCACCAGGATGATGGGAACGTTGGGGCAGAAGTGTTTCACCTCCGGGGTCCACTTCTCAGGGATGTTCTCTGGATGAGGCGACGACACAAAGCAGCGATCAGAGCAGAAACATGACTGGAAAAAACTATGATTTTAATCTGTAGATCAAGGTATGATCAGATATCTGGAACAGGCCACAAGAAGGACCATGACAACCTCCTACAGCGCTGGTTCTCGAGATAACTTCAGGGGGTTCGCCAGATCATTGTAAAAAGATAAAAAATAAAATCCTACATTTATCAAATAAATGTGTATCAGGGCTGTCAAAATGAAAAGTGTACACTTCTTCCCACTCCTTTTTCAGACTTGTTGATGTGATATTAGTATTTTTTGCTCTTTCTTAAATGATTTCTTTTGTTTCAATATTCTTTTCCCCTTTCATTTGTTGGAAACAAATTCAATTCATTCATTCATTCAAAAGAAAATGAATGTAAAGAGATTAATATGTGGAATTAACACATTCATTTTTAACGCATTAATGCATGAACGACAAAGTTACTACTCGTGAGATATTAAACATTCAAACTGGGGGGTCACGAACACAAACTGATGTTATCTTGGGGGCTGTGGCTCAAAATGTTTGAGAACCGCCGTCCTACAGCCAAAGTTTATGTCATCAAATGTCGTGTTTTTTCTGACCAGTAGCTGCTAAAGATTTCCCACCAGTGAGCTGTTGGTGGCCCAGACTTGATGAGTCATTGAGAGCAGATATTTTATCTGTTCAGAGAAATTACTGGTGCAAGCTCACATTTCAAAATGCAGCAGATTCCTGGATAGATGTGTGTCATTGCGACGCACAGAGGCGAGCAAACAGCAGACACATTGTGGAAACAGGATTCCTCGGACGTGCCTCTTCAGTTATTTTACGCATTTCCAATTTTAAAATGAAATTATTGGAGCTATTTTAAAATCTCCAACTGCTCTTCCCATTTCCCCACTAATTATTTAACAAAGTAAGAGCAAACTAAATTACATTAAAAACCACATATCAACATTTCTTCACTGTCTGCTTCTCGAAGCCGTTGGTTGCAAGCCACTGATTGAGTTAGACGAAGAATCGGAAATTAATTTGAGCGTCACAAGCACCATCACACACAGCCAGAGCTCCACGTTTTCACTTACCGAGGCTGTCGGGGCTGTCGATGGAGAAGCACATGAGGATGACATCAGTGTCTGGATAAGAGAGCGGGCGCAGTCTGTCGTAGTCCTCCTGACCTGCTGTATCCCAGAGAGCTAACTCCACCTGCCAACAGAGGTCACAAGGCATCAGTATGTAATATGAGGATGAACAGTTTTACATCTAAACCTGATATTTACGCTTCAAATTCCTGCCAAAACGCACATTTTGATGTTTTTATAAAATGACGACAGCTGTGCAAGTCATGAGAGATTTTAAAAGTTAGTTAACCTGTCGATTATATTCCTAATTAATCAATTATTGGAAATAAAAAATGTTTCACAAAGACAACGTCCTCAAATGTCTTGCTTCAGAGATATTCAGAAATCAGAAAATATTCAAACTGAAGAGATCAGAACCTGAGAGTTTAGACACCTGATTATCAAAATATCTGGTGATTAATTTAATTGGTAACAACTAATTGACTAATCAATTAAACCACTGCACCTCTAACTAACTAATAATGTTCATGCCAGCACTGAGAAAAAGTGGAAAAAAAAAACTCCCTGACCACCAAATCACTTCTTGCAATATAACAGATGCTTATTATTTTTCTGTATAAACCGTTTTGTAAATAATGATTGGACCACTTCCTGCCTTTTCCGTTGTGGTTCTCGGTGGCGTCAGACTGTATTATCTCCTTAAACAGCCGCCATCCACATGACACCAGGCTGCAGGGACCTGAATGTTGTGTCTCCACCATCACAGAGCAGCTCGTGTCGCTGCTTCCTCATCGTTGGTCATTGTTCCATCATTTACCCTTCGATGCACAACATGGGTCCCAAAGGCCCCGATGTGCTGCATCTCAGCAATAAACTAATCATTCAGTATTCCAGGTTCTCCTTAAGTAACTTGTTTTTGATCATAATGCATCCTTTTTTTATGTTTTCCTTTCTTATTTTTTGAGTAAAAACACTTTTTGTATCACTGCCCTTCTAAAGCACAACATGGGTCCGTTTACTGTTATTTCATGCTTGTCTGAGTGTTTCTAGGCTTTGTCTTTGAAATGAATGTATTTTACGATTTGCTATTTCAAGTATTCAGTAAATATTGTTTGTTTTGTTTAGCACAGATCATCAGATTTAGTTTTCCTTTCTTATTTTATGAGCTAGCATAGCTTTTGTATGACTACATTAGGTTTACACGCGTGGGTCAGACATGACCCACATGAATTTACTGTGGTATTTGGTGGGAACCTCTGAAATTTTTACATGTTTGCAATCAGGAAAGTGTTTTCTGTGGATACCTATTCACCTGCCACACATCTCACAGATCAGCACAGCTCCCTTTGCACATCTAAAATCTATAAGTCCTGTTTTATAATTATTCTAATCTTGCCTAAGAAGACCTTTGATGTCTTGTGAAAGACTAGCATGAATAATAGTTCGATGATGATGATGCCTGGGACACGGTCATCACTGACACCACTGAGGAGTTCAGGCTGTAATGCTGATTCCAAACTGGTTAGTGATGCCTCTCTGGCTGCGTCTCTCTTCTTTAAGCACCAAGATGGACGTCTTCTAATCTGGCAATTTTCTTTTGTTGTTACGTGATCGTTTACTTTGGATTATCTGTTGACTTTACAGCTTATGCACAAAATGATGGCGACTCAAAATGTTTTCGCCCGTCTGGTGTAAATTTTGAATTTTTCACAGTTTCAATACGTCGTTCCTTCAAACATAACTCACTGCATGTCTTGAATTATTATATGTTGGTCATGACTTTCATAAGCTGCTGTGATTATTTAACCGCTATGATGATATTTAAACTTTAAATTATCAATGCTATATATCGACAAGGGGCTGCAAGGTGGCTCGGTGGTTAGCACCGTTGCCTCGCAGACTGAAGGTCGCCATTTAGCGTCCCAGTGAGGACACCTGGGATCTTTCTGCGTGGAGTCTCCATGTTCTCCCCGTGCAGCGTGGGTTCTCTCCGGGTTCTCCGGCTTCCTCCCACAGTCCAAAAACATGCTGAGGTTAATTGGTGATTCTAAATTGTCTGTAGGTGTGAATGTGAGTGTGCTTGGTTGTCTGTCTCTAAGTGTAGCCCTGTGATAGACTGGTTACCTGTCCAGGTGAACCTGCCTTCACCCTGAGTCAGCTGGGATAGACTCCAGCCCCCCACGACCCCGGTGAGGATTAAGTGGTGTATAGATGATGGATGGATGCAGTGTGGACAAAACTAAAATGATGCACAGTAAATAAAATGCACTCTAGTCCTGGTAGAAGTGAAAGTAATAACTTTAGAAAGAGCTTTTACTAACACTTGTTTTGATAAATATTCTCAACAAGCTTTCTATCAATCCAAATCCTCAAGACCAGCACAGCTTGAGTGTGTGAATCAACTCATCAGACCGCCTACAAGCTGAGTACCAGTGTTGCTGTAAGAAGTTGAAAGAGAAGACAACCGGCAGTCAGCTGTTGCTGTAATCAGATGCCAGGTTACATAAAGCCGATCCCAGTCTGAAATGTGAGAGGAGCAAAATAATTCATACCTGTTTGCTATCGACTTCGATGTCAGCCACGTAGTTCTCGAACACTGTGGGCACGTAGACTTCTGGAAACTGGTCCTTGCTGAACACGATGAGCAGACAGGTCTTCCCACAGGCTCCATCTCCCACTATGACCAGCTTTTTCCTGATTGCGGCCATAGCTGCAATCAAGAGACAGAAAACAGCAAAGGTTAACACGAGAGAAAACTTTATGTACAGCAGGGCGGGTCGTTTTATTGCATTAAAGCATTATGCAACTTAGCACCACAGTGAGAGGCGATGAGCAGCCAACCTTCAGCTGTGTTGACACAAGCCGTCTGAAACCAACACCCGAGGCTAACTATTTAGCTTTCCCTCACAACACGGATGTTCACAGCCCCCTATTTCAAAAAATCTAGTAGGTTTTGGACAAGGAGGCCACATCAACACGTTGAAGGCCAGTCTCTTTATTTGACTTAGTTTTAGATTAGTAGGAATAGGAACCTTCTCCCATGATGAGACATTTCCGCTCCAGTGTTTCTGACCCACCCCGGCTTCAAGCTTCAAATTATCCCGTTAAACATTTGTCCCACTTTACGATAAAGCTACTGACCAAATTGACGAGTTAATGGGCGGCAGTGACATAAAGCTGTGAGTCAGTACAGTGCAGGCTGACCTAGATTTTAGCTCTCCAGGAGGATGTTCTGTTTACAAAAGACTTGACGCTAGCTACTGTAGCTACCCAGCTAGCGTTAGCCGGATATGTGGCTTCAGGATACATTTATACAGTAATGTTCAAACGAGATGCAGGAAACATGTGAAACATTTAGGATATAACACACACAACACAGCGGTAGAATTTGTTCGTTTTAATCAGAAACCGACACGGCCGGCTAGCTCGCTAGCTAACCACACTTAGCCTAGCGAAACGGAAATCAATGCGACTTTATCGGACCGTTAGCTAGCTTGCTAGCCGCAACAGAATATCGGAAGAAAAATGGAGATTTACAACATACATAACTATATTTTTGCCAATAAAACAGCCTGGCAAGGTGCCGCAACAACACTTAGCTTAAAAATATGAGGTACGTACCAAGTAATTGGTTTAAAGTCTATCCAAATGAAGTCAAAGTAGTGCTTTGTTAGCCTCCGTCGCTGCTCCTTCGCTGCGCCGCTGCTGCTGGAGGATTAACAGGAGGGAGGTGAGGGGGTGGGGAGAGAGAGGACAACAATACACCGCTACACTTACAAATACACACTATACACACAACAACAACAAGCTT